TTGGTGGGCCTTTTGGTGGGCCTTTGGTGGACCTTTGGTGGGCCTTTTGGTGGGCGTTTGGTGGGCCTTTGGTGGGCCTTTTGGCCCACCAAAGGCCAACAACAACAAAAAAGGCCCTTTGCTGGGCCTTTTGGTGGGCCTTTGGCCCAAACCAAGCCTCTCTCCTGCAAACTTGAACTGGCACTCATTTATTATTGTCATCCTCGTAAGTTGAGTCCAACTGTTGTTGATAATTGAGACACAATGTAACAGAGGACGTGTGGCGTGCAGCAGGTGTGTGGTTAATTAGTCATGCGCCACAGAAGAAGGGGTGGGCCCGACTGTATGGTAGTTGTTTTTTTTTTAGGCGGCTCTGTCATGGGGAAGAGGAGGGTGGGGCTAAACGCCCGACACAGTGGGATTCTTTTGGATGATGCACCACCAGTTGGATCAGACAGGGCCCCGAGGGGTCAGGGGGTGGGGGTGTGGGGGGGGTGGGGGGGTGAGCAGGGCCGGCCCCGGCTGCAGCGGAATGGATGCAGGTGCTCCACGTGATCTGCGATTAATCTCCTCTTTATGACGGATGAGAGGAAGAGAAAGCCGCCGAAAGCATGAATGAGGCCCAGAAGCCCCCCGTAATTATGCCGCCGCACAATGAGGAGCTGGAGTGCTCAGGGCAGGATTCATACCAACATTTGCATAATTCACCTCACCGCAAGTATCCACTTACCGGATCATTCATAATGAAGAGAAAGCAATAAACCAGCGCTATGCTTTGAGGGAGGATCCTCAGCATCCAGCTCAATAGAGAGACAAAGCATTCTGGGGGATTTAGCATAACTATAGGTTTATCATGGGCTCTGACTCAAGTTCCTGGTGTTAAAGACCCATGAAAGAAGGGCTGGAAGACGCTTCTCCAAGTTTAAACAGTCAGCTCGAACAACATTTCGGGGAGTATTTATAGTGAGTGAATGACATGCTTGTTGACTATTTCAAATACGATTGTGATTTTTACAGTTCTGTGGAAAGTCTTGAGCAGCCATTCATTGAATTCAAAGTGGTTGTTGGATAATGGTGCACCAGAATCTCTTGCCAAATCCAACCATGCGAGTCGAGGTTGGCGATCCCTGACGGGAAAAACCAAAGGCAGCGACAACATTCACTCCAGTCTTTCCTGCCAGTATTTTCAGAGGAACATGTTTTTTAAGATGTTGAGGATAACACAGCGCGATAAACACACTAATTGTATTTTTTCACTCCAGCAAGGTGTTGCCCAAAGAGTGTCACCAGAAAACTTGGCATGAAACCAAACAAGTGGAGGACAAAAGAAAGAGTGACTTTCCATAGCTTTTTTTATCCGGTCCATGTTTATCCATCCTGCAGTGTTTTTATCCATCCGGCAGTTTCTATAATAGAAAAGAAAAATATAGCCATAACAAGAGTTTAGGAAGATCGTGCAGTTTGCCTCCTGATTTTTTATTAGAGACTGTACATTTCAAGCAAGTTCTGAGCAAAGGCCTCGTAATTCATAAAAGAAAGGGTTGTATTACAAATGAATGACAATAAAAAATGCCCGACACAAAGTTACAGGTACTTTGAGAACCCACAATTAGATGAGTTTGTTGTTATAGTTTGTGTCATTCCTTAACACTTATATATATAAAGACATATTGTCGCACACGGGTGAGACTTTAGGGCGGATCCAAGTCTAAATCTAATTCAAATATGAATCATAATACTTTACATTTTCTGTGCAGACCTTGAAAATGTTTTTTATGGTTCCCATTTAGTTAAGTTTTTTGTCATCTTTTTCTCTACAGGACTGGTCTGAAGGAGGTTCCGGGTCACCATCGTCTTGGATCATAGACCCGAGTCCATCACCCCACATGCTCAGAGCTTCTGAATCTCCATGCCAGTCCAATCACGGTATGTCATCCCTCCAATCTGACCAAAAGTCTTTTTTTTTTTTCCTATCTTTGGACTTTCCACACTCATCCAGAATCTCCTGCTCTCCGTTTAAGAGATATAACAATAATTAATCAATACGAGAGCCTGACTTCACCATTAGCGTGTGATCCGGTAAAAGCCCACTCAGTCCCTGTCAGCTCTGCTTTATTAGGAGCCATTGTCTCCTCACCGTCAGCGCCGTGTTTGGTGTTCCCTTGCCTCCGGTACACTTAAGCCCGCTAATCCTCGCAAGGGCCAGCTGGCTCCTAGTATCGCCTTCACCTGTAGGGCTGGCTTGTGTACATTCATGAGCAATGGTTCAGATGGAGCGCTTACTGTACGGGAAACAGTCAGGAGTGCCCTCACCGGAGGGGAACTGGAGAGCCACTCTCAGGCTTCAAACCCCTCCCTCCACCTCCGCTTTTGTTTGACCACTCAGTCGGGCCGCAGTCACGGTCTGACTCTTTTCCTGCTTCTTGACCAGTATCAGTCACTGCGCTGTAACTTTAATGGTCCGTGGCGCTCCGGGCTCCAAACGCATCCATCACACCTGAGAACGATGGGTCTCGATTGGCTTGCCAAACCGCCACTGAAGGATCAGATGCTTCATGTTCCACACAAGACTTGGATGACACATGTCAGCCATGACTGCCTGGCATTAATGACCTAATGACTCTTGTTTAAGGGGGATCTAAACTCTTTCTTCCTCTTTCATTGAACCTTGCAGGATTAATTTTCCTGACCGGTCAGACATGAATCCAACTTTTGTTGTTCCATTGAAGGATGGCTATGATAAGTGTGGAATAAAAAGACATGATCCAGCCTTTACATTTACTATCTTTTTCTGAACAACGCTTGTGGCAGGAATAGATGTTCTGACACCACAATAAAGTAATTAAAGATACACAAATTATGTTTGAAAAAGGTATTTATTTTAATTAAATTACAACAGAATATCATTGACAGTATCAGTTTCCATACATTTTGTTCATTTTGCTGTATATGTACAGAAAAGTTTTTTTACCCTTTAAAGTCTGATCCAAGAAAAAGACATTTCATTTTTGTGAGACATTTTTTTAGTCATTTTGGTATACATTTTGTAGAAGTAAAACAATTTCGGTGTTTTTGGTCTAATGGCTTTAGAATCGGCCCATCTAATATAAAAACCAGTTTGGTTTTAGAGGATATACATATATATAGTATAAACATTAGATTTTTTTTTACCATACAGTCAACATATTTCAGGAAATAGCAAGCCATTTGTTCATCCCGGGATGTAATTTGTTTGAAGGCTGATAAAAGTTTTATTAGGTTTGAATTCTCTTCAGCCCCTCGAAAGCAGGTGCAGTTTTTCTTTGGTTGTCAATTTTTTTTTTCCAAGCCTTAAAAAGAGGCAGCCTTCTGGGCTGACCAGGATGACAGCCCGTTATACTCCATTTGTGTTAGAACAAGGGAGGAGTGAACACACTGGTTTAAAGCAATTTAGGGCTATCTCTAATAGAGGCTGATTGATTTATCATCTTGTTAAACACATACAAAGTCAATCTGTTGTCCGCTCGCACAATGACTGAAATTCCCCTCAACTTTAAAGCCCAACACTTTTGGAACACTGGCCCATTTCAAAACAAGACGTTGCCGGTTTGACCAGCCCCGTAAGGATTATACAACCGGGGGAAAAAGAGACGTCACCCGTCGGATCCTGGTGACGACTTGTGTGCGTTGACCTCTTAGAGGCCAAAGACACGGTCATCCTTTCAGGGAGGGGGTCATCGATGGGGCGGGGAGAGGTCACTCCTGAGGTCAGCCAGTGTTTAAGAGATGCCCACTGTGTGGCTCGTCTTTGTGTGGATAGGTGAGATTGGGTTACCCCGGAGGTGCGGGCGGTTCAACGTCTCAATAAGGCTCCTAACAAATGGAGGGACTGACCTCATTCCGACTCCATGGATATGAGATCAGTCAAAAAACCACTCGCTGACCGCTGATTTAGTTTTGAATACGGACAAATCTAAAGGATTCAAAAGCTTCTTTACTAGTCATAAAACTTCTGGGATTGCTCCTTTTATACCAGCAATGCACACATGGACAGTTTATCGGAAAGCAGTTGATTAGTTAAGGTGGCTGCACTGCTTTTCCGTATTAAATTAGTCATATTTCCATCAGTGGCCTTTCTGTGTGGAGTTTGCATATTCTCCTCATGTACTCTGGCTTCCTCCCACACACGATAAAAAAACATGCATGTTAATTGGTGACTCTGGCCTAGATAGAGTTGCTATCTTAGTTGGAGGATGGTCGCGGCACTACAAAATTTACAAAATTTATATTAAAAAATCTACACAAACGTGTGTTTTCAGGGGACTGTGAGTCTGATGCTGACCTTTTATGCCTGGTCCGGGTAACTTTTTCCATCTCCCCACTGACGGCAGCAACAGGTGGTTCAGGTTACAGGTGAAACATCTGGACTGGACTGGACTCTCAGCCTGTCAGTGTACTGAGCAACACAGCGTCTGCCTTCCTCTTTGTCTCCGTTTGCCAGCTAAATGTGTTGCATCTGCAGCATCGGTCTGGAAGAATCTTTAAGGGAAAAGTCAATATGGATTTAAAACCAGACCCCGCTCTGCCTTTGACCTCGATCTTTTTCTTTTATGATTTTGAAAAAAAAAACATGAAACCAAAACTGAGAGTCCTTCTCACTGGCACTCAAGAGACCTCAAAACCACGGCACTCTTGAATACTTTTGGGCCACATTTAAATGAAATCATGTGAGAATACTGCGGGGTTGAAACTGTGAAGATGAGCAAAATCTGAAATGTTGATACAGTCCATGTGGTTCTCTGTGAAAATCCTCACTTAGGTGACACGATGATGGATGAGGAAGCAGAAGCACAGCTTCTTGGCAATTGAATTAAGCCTCTCATCAGAGAAATGGATGGAAGAAAATCTGTTTACCGCAATGATCTCAGTCATTTTCCATTTCATCACATCAGGGTCGACAAGCTCGGGAAAGCACGTGTTTCCTGAAGCGTGTCTTCCACGTGTCTGAGGATATGTTTGTATTTATAAAGACGAGGAACCTGTGGATTCGTCTAAAACAACGCAACTAAATCAGGAAGCATTGTGGATACTTTCAACCACTTTATTGCCCTGAAATACTATGGAGACTCCACCTCCTACTTCTGAACAAGTCAAAATAAGTTACAAAATCGCATAATTCCCTTAGTTCTTCTGAATGGAACTAATTATTACAACGTTTTAACCTTATAACGTTTTTGTAGTAACTGGATAGTAGATAAGAGTATACAGCTGTTTTAACTTTATAAAATGCCCCACTTTTTTATTCTGTTTCTCAGTTGGTCATCTACTTATTTTAATTGGCGAACCAGAGGCAGAAATCAGCTGCCATGAGATGCTCCTGCTCCCCAGAGAGGCTCTGGTTAAGACCTTTGTCCACGTTTGCTCATCAGGGATTCATAGGTAGAGTAATCCCCGCTCTCATATTTGTTTCATGGCTGTTCCTGCACTGGCCGGGCGCTCCGGCCGGCCTCACCCGGGCAGTTTAGCATTCAGCTGCTTACTAAAGATGTCAGTGGCCAAACGAATGTAGCGACGTGAGGGGCCACAAAGAGTTTCTGATCTGAACTGACCCCGGTGAATGGTCCCGGCCGAAAGCCTGAGGAAGCTACGGGGACAGATTAGGCTGCAAAAAGACAGAGATGATGCAAGCAGAGATTAGTCGTGTACTGAGCAAGGATTGTTTCCCCCTGGAGGACCACACACTGACAGCGTAGCCGTGTCGCCATTGTCTCTAAGCCACTGCCGCTGTGGACTCGCCGGCCATTGTCTCCGAAATCCTCTGGCGTTTCCCCAAAAAACCTGGCCTCAAGCCCTTTGATTGGCACTTGTCACGGCTGATAGAGAGGCTGACGTGTTGGGAAAGGCTTCGATAAAGGCGTCCTGAAAGGAAAATCCCTTCCCCATGAATAATAATTTGGCAAGGATTTTCCTTCTTACCCCTCCCTGCTCCCATGCTGCCATTCTTTTGGGAGATAGAGCAGTGAAGGCTCTGGGTGGCATCAGTGAATGGCCCCCGCACACTGATTGTCTTGATGGGGGTCATCCCTTTCTCAAACAAGCAAAGAAAAAGATACATGTCCAACCTTCTTGCCTCTGCCTGGTGCCCTGGATGTTAAGGGGCAGGCAGCGTGTGTGTTTTTCAGTCTCTGGTGGCCTTTTCCGAGATCAGCGGGGGGATTTGACTTGGTCGCTTGCAGCCAAATCCAGCTATCGGCTGTGCTCAGATGCTGCGGTTGGTATGGTAACCGGGGGCTGTGTGTTTTAGATGAGCTCTTGTTTCCAGATTGGACTGACCAGCAGTCGCTGCTTTGCATTCACAGATTAGGCTGCCATGGAGGATAGGAGGGGTTTTAAAAGGAAGAAAACAAATCCTGAATAATTTGAAGTCAGAGCTGCTTCCAGATGCAAAGGTCCGTTATTGAATCAGAGTGGACTGTGGTTATTGGATGTTTAATACACGGGCACAATATTAATCACCAACTAATGTTTTGTAAAACTACCAGTTACAACAAATCCAGATACAGAGGCTTTTAAGAATTCTGAATTTGAGATTCTGAACAAATTTCTTTCAGAGCAATGACCTGACGCAAACCATTTCTAGAAAGCAAATGTTACCATTTTTAGTCTTATAAAGTTCAATGTCGAGTTTTGAGCGTTTCTGTCATCTTTCACCATTTATCACGACGTCATGCAGATAGCTTTTAGCGTGTGTATGGAGGGATGATGGATTTGTGTAGAGGAGATGAATAAATTCCTCCTCCCGCTCCCCGTTTTGCTGTTACCGGGGCCTCGGCGGGACGTGAAGGCATGTGATTGTGTGCAGTGTGGTGGAAGACATCCTGTCAAATGAGACGTGGCTCCATCAATCTGTGCTGCTGACCTCTCCACGCTCGCCGGCCGCGCAAATGAATTCTCGCCGGCGTGTTTTGGACAGCTTAACGAATCCGATGCACGTCAGCAGCTCGCCTGCCCGGGCTCCGGGCTCCTTAATGAATAGAGTCGTCCCCAGATGTGTCACGATTTGAATTATCACTCATGCGCTAACACATGGAACACTCGTGCTGGTGAGAGTGGCCCGAAGAAAAGGGTCCAAAAACTCTAAGGGAAACTGTCGCCGAAGACAATCTGAGATTTCTTTATACTCAAGACTGCATTGATGGTGTTCTTTGTCTCCACGCTTCTCCACCAAGGAGTGGATTCTATGGACTTTGTGTTGGGAGATAATGGGACTCTTAATTGGCTGGCCAGTAGCAAAAATGGACGGCTGTTTAAGTTTCAGGGACAGAGTCCACTGCTTATTGAAGCTTTCAAAGGACCTTCAAAGAGGTGCAACTGTGGCAACTAAGCAAACAATAAAATAAGAATCGGCCCTCATTAAAGGACTCATAGCGATTGTAGTGGCTACTTCTGTGGAGATTGTCATGAATACAAATGAGTCGTGGTGATTCCTAGGTTACTTTTTTAGTTTTAAAACAACAGTAAATATCTTTCTGAACGAGTTTTCAGAACAAGCTCCATGCCGTACGCTTTCGCTTCCAGGTATTCACTCAAATAACGGGAGCCCCACTGAGGAGGAGCCCATTCATCCGGGAACGAGTGACCAGGTCCAGAGGAGGCCCAAGAGCCCGGAGCGTGGAGCAGAAGAGAGAGACCGACAGGCGGAGGAGAGAAAAATAAAGGTGCTGAGCATGCTGTCCAAACTGCAGGACAGCACGCCCCGACAGAGCAAAACCACCAAAAGGCACTCCAACTTCGAAGACTGTGAGTATATGACCATAAGAGTCAAGTTTATGAATGAAATCTGGCCCCGGTGTAATATGACTTTGGGAAATATTCCATTTACTTGCATCTCGGTCTGTTTTGCCCCTTAATTAAAACAAAAAAACACACCAAACATCTCACTTTAGCCAAAAGTTGCCTAGCGCTATATGACCAGACAAGAAAACGATGCATGGTTGGAAACGGGGAGTGACCTTCTACTTGGCAATTAGTGATGTTTGAATACTGCATGGAGGCCTGGTCTTTGCTTCCAATTCACACGATGGACAATGCGTGAAAAACAAAAAACGCCTCCATGCATTTACCGGCCCTCGCCTCTTAAAAAACGCGCCTTCAATGGCAGCACTTGATTTTTAGAATTGGCTTTTTTTCTTCGAAACCCCTTGGCCGGGAGTTCTCCAGTCCACCCTCGAGTGGCTGATTTCTAGCGTCCTCGCCTCGGCCAGAATGCCGGGGCCCGCAGGCCCGAACAAAAAAAGCACCTACGCCTAAGGTCAAGGCTGAAGGGGCCGGCCCTCTGAGTGGGTCACTCAGGTCAGAGTGGTTCTGCGAGTGCGGGCTCTCATGAATGGCAATGATTGGACAGGTTTGTTAAGACGGTAATCAAGCAGGAATGGAAAACGCAGCAGCTGGCCTCACAATTTTGCAGCCGAGTTATCGCGGACACAAAGCTTTAGTGATATCATGGGAGGATGGGCTGCGGTTTTAAGTGTGTGCTTTCATATCACATGAACGCTCGACAACCAGCACTCGTATTTTTCAAAATATGACTCAAGGTTTATTGTTAGGAAAATTCAGCGTTAGCTAGAAATGGCGTGAAACCTTCAGTTTGTCCAAGCTGGAAAAAATGGGCTTTCAACTAATTGTTGCTAAAAGAGAACATCAGAAATTGGGATTTTAGAGCTCCGCTGATCGGATGGCACATACAAAATGATTTTCAAACGTGTTTACAGGCGTTGCTGACAGATTTGTGACGTTCATTTAAAAGGTGTTGAGCTATGTTCAGAGCCTAAACACAGTTTAGTACAAAAGTAAGAATGAGTACCAGTTGTCGCATGGACAAAGGCTTTAAAATCAGATTTAGATCCACATATTGATGTTACAGATGAACAATTTCACAGTGTTTCAACATTTTGCTGGGAGATTAACTTTTTTTTATTTTATGTAAAGTTTAATGATACCTTGGTGTGCCGATAAACATCAGAGGCATGGTGCTCGTGTTTATGGGCGTGTTACGATCACAGCTTGTCCGGGTGCAATTTGCCATTTATTTTTGCTCCCGGGCGTCCGCCGCTGCTCCTTTGTTTTCCCGTGTTTGCCCTCATTTGTGGTGAGGGACATCTCTGGTGTGTTTGTGTGTCCCCCCCACCCCCGTTTGCCGACCGCGTCCCGTCCAGACTCCTGAGACCACGGCTCCTCATTAGTCTCTGAAAAGGACTAACTGGTCATTATTGGTCTTGTTTGATCCGACACTGACCGCTCGCCAAGAGGTTTCCCAAAATTCCCCCCCCCCCCCCCCCCCCCGCACCCCCACATGTCGGCAGCTTCCTGTACTCGGCCACCCATCTTCCATTCAACCCTGTGACCCTCCGGGCCGTCATCAGTCAGCCAGCGCTGCCGTGCGGCTCGTGTTTGAAGTCAACAGTCATTCCGCAGAGAAGAATCGGAGTGAGGGCAGTATGTACACAAGCAAAGAGCTGACAGGATCCCGTGTTCAGTACGAGATGAGCCGCGCTCATTGTACACGTTAATGAGGCGGTGACCTGTCTGGTTCATGGCAGAATGGAAGAGGGGGGGAAAAAAGTCAGTTGCTTTTGATGTTTGTTCCTCAGATGGTCAATTTTTTCTGCATATTTAATAAAAATTATAATGACAATACTTCAACCAAAATATTTGAAAAAAGATTAATTACTTTTTCAGTTTATTGACATCGTAAACACGACTTTACATGTAGATAGTAAGTAATGACCATGCAGTTATACTTTTATCTTTCATAATATCCGAGCCATAAATCCCCTCTATTTACACAAATAAGTCATTTTTCAATTAATCGTAACTGTTTTAAGATCGTGAAACATTTTGAAACTCAGTGAGCTGCTTGATTTAAACTTACCCTTGAGAACATTTCATAATTAAAATCAGAAAAATGTCTCTTGATTGGAAAAAAAACCTTTAAGGTTCTAGATTCCATGAGAAGATCTTACACTGTTTTACTGGTTCTTTTGGTTATACAATTATAGAAACAGAATTGATAAACATTAGAATTCTCATATTTATCCTGATGAATCATGAATTACTGTCGTGGAACACCTGTCGGAGCCAGTCCCTCTTTGAACCTGCCCAGTAGCACCAGAGAAGAGGTTCCCTTTTCCTGATGCTTGGGGTCCCAGTGTTGTTTCCAAATAAACAAAAGGGACCAAATTACAGACTGCACAAGGAGGACCTGTCGCTGGTAGAGACGTGAGAGGTGCTCGTGCGTGTTGGGGAGGATGTCCCTGGTGTGCGTTCAGGTACGGGGCCTTTTATGTAACCCCTGTTTGCTCAGCCTTTTGGTCGGGACGCGTGTGTTTACCACCAGCCCGGGACGACCGGGCAAACAAACAGCTCGTCTATTGATGCGCGGCAGCGTGGAATATGCCCGCTGCATTCACAGGAGAGAGAAAGGGAGTGGGCAGAGGGAACGCGCACAAAGTAAATCTGTCAAAGAGTCTATTATGTTGTGTCCAAACAGAGAGGACTCTCCACAATGGCCTTATTAATGGTACTATGTCAAGGAGCGGCAGGGCAATAATAGCAGATGATTTGGCTTTGTGGGGTTATCTCTGGAGATCTGCTCCCGCAGTAAAGCAGATGATTTGGACTCTGGAGGTCATATCAGCGAGGATCTGTGGCAGGAGCTGATTAGTCATAGGTGCATATGTGTGTGTGTGTGTGTGTGTGTGTGTGTGTGTGTGTGTGTGTGTGT